TTAAAATGAAAACAGGTCACAGATACTGATTTATGCCAAAAATAACAAATATGTAGCCAAAAAAAAGGCCCTGAAAACAGGCTGATGTAAAAGACAGTCTTTACAGTTAATACAGTCTTTTGAACAAAGACAAGCATTTTACCCTAGTGCTATAAAATTTAGTAGAGTTAACATTAGATGTTAATTAACCAAGATAATAATGAACAATTTTCAATCAATACATCAAAATCAATAGACCGACATCACTAGATCGAGGTAGTCTATGCCCTAGAAAGTTACTTTTCAGCCTCTTAACAAAAATGAGAACACACACACAAGCACCCACCCACACACACACACACACGCACACACACACACACACACACAAGCACCCACCCACCCACACACACACACACACACGATACCGACCTGTGGCGTACACAGACAGCAAGAGTGCCGTAGCAGATTCCATTTCACCTCAGTAATCTGTTTTCTCAGCGTATTTCAGGTTGCTACTAGTTACCAGACACTCAACTTGTTTGTTGGTGGTGGGGCTTAAAGAAAAGGCACTAGCGTCACCCAGTGTATGAGCGTCTTTTTCCCTTGAGGAGGTCCGCTCTCGAAGCCTATGGAAAATGCATACACTGGGGGAAAATAGCCCCGCCTTCCCGCAGGCTGCAGCGGGATCTACTTGGAAAATTGTACCATAAAACCACATAGCATTAATCTCACGTTAAAAAAATTATCGCCGTTAAAATGGCCTCGCGTTAACGCGATAATAACGCAATAATTTTGACAGCACTAATATATATATATATATATATATATATATATATATATATATATATATATATATATATATATATATATATATATATTAAAATAGCTGCATGAGGTGAAATTTCTTTTCAATTAGCTTGAATTAGAATTCTGTTTCTTAATAGATCGATATACATTCAGAATTTAGGAAGTTTACATATTTCTCACTTAATTTAAGATGAAAAAATAAAACATATAGCAAATGAAAACTGGGATCCTATCTCAATATCACTGAATCTATCACCTCATTGTTTTTAGATAATTAGTAAAAGAGAATTTGTAAAGAAAAAAAATTAAATAGATCCAAAGAACCTATCAGTAACCATGTATGTTCCAGTGCGTATCATCATTAACATTTCTTTTAAGTACTATGTCTTCAGTACAGGGGCAATAAGAAGGGCCAGGACATGATCTACAGGGGCACTGGCCCCCGTTGGCCCCTGTCTAGAACCGCCCATGGTGTTATGTGTGTAATTTTGTTAGAAATTTCATAAAATCACAAAAAAAATATGCTAAAGACTGGGGAATTTTAAAAGCTCCTATGGAAGACAAAGGCTGTGCATCTAAACCATTCACAGTGGCTTCATTACATGTTTTTCCGTCATAAAATATGTTCTGGACAAAAAATGCTTTTTTCCTTTTTTTTGGGAAGACATTCATACAGTGAGTGCTTACTCACCTTTGTAATTTCATGTGAGCTGCTTTCTGTGAATCAGCATCACAGTTATGAAAGGTGCTGATGTAAATTTGCTATTCAGTCCACTGATTGCTGCTGCAGTAGGAGTAGCTGTTGACAGCTGGGTTTTATGTGAGCATAGCATCCAGATAAAATTGCTTGTTAAAACTCACCTGAAATAAGAGATGAACTCAAACATGACTATCTTTTTTTTTTTTTTTTTTTTTTTTTTTTATATCAGGGAGAGATAGAAATAAGAAAAAACAACTGTCAAAACGCCCCCCTGACTCTGTTCTTTTCTGGAAAAATCCAGAAGCAAAAGAGAAAAAGTTGCATTTCTTTCACTTTGATGCTGAAAAGTTAATCAAAAAAAATCAAAGCTATCTTTTTTAATTTATTTTTTTTGTAATATGCATCCTAAAATAAACAATTTAAGCTCATTCTCCAACAGTTGCTACTGCTGTTGCAGACAACTCAGGCCAGGAGACGGGGATGTGTGCTCATACACACAAACCCCTGATTGAAGCATAACTGCCGATCAGTTATTGAACACGACAAATTTCTCACTCCTGCGCAAGACGAACAACACACACCCATGTGCTCCTGCACCCAGATAATCTCTCCTGCCAGACCATTAAACAAGAAAGCAGCTCCTTTGGCTCCCTTAATGGAAATTGCTATTTCAAAGCGTTCGGAGAGAGATGTTAACCTTCTGGTATACTTGTGGCATTAAAAATGGATCAAAGCCTCTCCGCTTTGATGTCAATAGAAGATTTTATTTGGGTCGTGGCGGCAAGCCGTCTCCTCAGTGCCCTCTGCTGGGATAAAGCTGCGCTCCAAATGAACATGATTGATGTGGTTTTCTTTTTTCTCTGATTTGTTTATTGCTTCACTCTTTTGCTGAGTATTAAAGAAGTACAGAAAATTCTGGATTAAAAACCTAAAGAAAGCAGCTGGTTCCTTTTCCCTTGCAGTCACTCCATCAATCAGGGGTTGTTGTTTAACATGAGAGCTGATGTGGACTGTCTGGGGTATCTTATGTGGAAAAAGGGGAAGGCAGGGGCGTACCTCTAAGTGTGGTTGGGGGTTGAACTTTCGACCCCCAGCGGGGAGGCCTAAAAACCCGGATCCCCTCGCATTAGAGTCTTCCCCATGGAGCTCAGCGTGGGGCTGGGAACAAACACACTGTCCAGAAAGATAAATGACTCTGAGTGGAAACAAGTTCGCCTACCTGTTACTGCGCCGTCTCCACGTTAAGTAAGACTGTGGGCTGGAAACCAGCAGAGACCCGTGGACAGCAAGGGTTGTACATCTACTTAAGATGACGACTGTATTAGTAGGAGTGCTTCTTGCTGGAAGCAGCCACTGTATGCATGTGTTTGTGTTAATGTGTATGAGCCCCCTTGGGTAACGTATGGGGGAGGGAATAAAAGAGAAAGAGGCAGACACAGATAGAGTAAAAAAAAAAAAGAGCACATAAATAATTGATGACAGATACCGCCTTGCATCTGTGCCTGCTGCTGTGGAGTTCTTTCAACTAGGCGTGGAAAGCAGGATTGTGCTACCATACTTTGTAAATGCTCATTTAAAAAAAAAAATTAAATTTCTGGAAACGTCAGGTCTTTTTAAAAACGATTTTCAATCTTATGCATGCAAACCTTTTGGGTTTGCTGATAATTGTCATAACTTTAGAGATTCTTAAGGATTTATTTCTTGGCAAATAAATGACCTATGTTTTTTTCTTTTTTGCCAGACAACTGTAAAATATTGTTAAATTGTGTAACATTATCAGTTTTATATGCGCTCTTATTTAAAAATATTCTTGGGTTCTGTTAAAGGAGAATGTTCAGTTTAAAATTGAGAAGTTCTTTTTCATTTTTTTATTCCCATTTAAAAGTGTCATCAAGTATTTTCCTGGAAATCAATATTAAGGTTGAAATGTTAGTATCTGGCTGAGTTTGACCCGACTGAAAACCTGTGGTTAAGTATTTCTGTACCTGAAATGTATCATCTAATTTCAAACGAGGGATGTAACAAAAAATCTATTCTGTCTAATTTCATTAGATAATATTTGCATTGATTAAAAATACTGTAATAGCTCATTAGACGATATTGGTATTGATTCTGAATACAGCGGAATGGATCCTAAAAAATACACAAGTGCAAACATCCATTTATTTTACAACTTTTAAACCTCCAGCCACTAGGTGGCAGTGCACTGCCCAAGAGCCTATTATTAAGCTGCTTGTCCCACCTCCACAGAGTAACTGAGATATTCCAGAGCTATATCAACATAAAAATTCCAACCTATATCGTCTTTGTTAATGCAAGAGGATATATTTAGGTAAAACCTATCCTGAAAGATATCGTTATACATATCGTATTGTCAAATTCTTACCTCCATACCCTTAGTTGAATTCTTTGTTCTACTATTGCTTTCATCCATCCAACCATTTTCTGTCACGCTTATCCCAAGCGGGGTCACACACACACACTCACTACCAAGGAGAATTATAGAGCCAATTAACCTAACAGTCATGTTTTTGGAGTGTGGGAGGAAGAAGGAGTACCTGGAGAGAACCCACACATGCTCAAGGAGAACATGCAGACTCCATGCAAAAGGACACTATTACTATAAATTACTTTTTTTGCTTTCAAAATAAAACATGACTCCTGATGGAATGTAAAGACCTGTGCCTCATTGGATTCACTACGTTTTCTTATAGTAGACCTCAGGCAGGATACAGAAAATGACTTAATGTTTTGTTCTGAAAACATAAACATTTAGAAGCCAAAATGTCCAGCGGTAGATAGCGTAATGTCAGTGAGCTAAATATATACAGAAAAAATTAATGATTTTTATGCACTTAATGAGAAAATCTAATATTTTTCAGTATTTGATTAACCAGTCATTGTCCAGAACCAATCATGGGAGGATCAACTGGCCAATTGATTGCAGCATCTCTCATGTTAATCTATGTGAGAAAAAGGATGCTGTAAAAGGAGACTAAAACAGCCTCCAAAGGTTAATTAGTTGAATATTGGCTTGTGTGAGTTTTTTTTTCTTTCCAGTTTTCCTTCAGTCTAAGATTGTCACAAACAAGTGGGTTGAGGGCTATTTGGAATTTCTATACATGACTGACTTTAATGTATTTAGCCCCCCACCTCTTGGCTGCTCCATTATATGTCTCAGTTTGCCTCATTAAGGCTTTGTGGGAAATCTCCAGCTCTTGTGGAGGAGACTCTCTCTTTGATGAGACTATAAACAAACAGTGGAGTTGGTTGACATCTCCCAAGTCTTTGACCATCTTAAGCTGTGCCGTTGCCCAGACCTCCTATATTTCACAAGTCTGGAGGATAGTACTCTCAAAATCCTTCAACCTTGTTTGTTTTTTCTTATTCCCTCACTCAACCTCGACTCCAACACCTCCCCTCTCCTCTGCCTTTGTTAAAGACAGCGCCTCATCCACTCCCCCATCTCTCTCTCTCCCTCTCTCTCTCATGCGCTCTGTCTTGCTCTCTCATTATGCGCTCATCGGCTCTACTGGCTGGGAGCTGAGAAACGAGTGCTCTGCTCTGGAGGAGAGTGTTTGGGAACGCTGGCGACATGTCGCTCCTATTTTCTACACCAAAAGAGAAAAAAAGGTGGACCCAAGTGTCAGGATCAGCTTTTCCTTCTTCCAGCTCTCCTCCTCCCTCCTGTTTTTATTGCAGACTGTCTCGGTCTGTGCACTGACTTCTCTCAGTCATTCATTCACTCCTGCCCGCGCTGGCTGGCCGACTGAGCGTGCCGACAGCGGGACCGCTACCTGCTGCCTTTGGGATTTAAGCTCACTAGAAGAACCTGCTGCCTAATTTGCTGTTGCAGCGGTGAAAGGTGGACGCCCCATTGAGTATCCTGGATAAAGTGGATTAAAACTCTTTGAAAACCTTAGGATGAGGAAGTTTCTTTCCTGACCTTATCAAAACAAAAGGAGAACCAAGATTGTTTTTCTTGACCCAGCTGAAAACTCAATCAAACTTTACCTGACTTCCTCAGGTTTCTGTGTTTTCTTGAACATCTGTAGCTGCGGACTGTCAGGTTGAGAGGGACCGTTCGCCTGGATAACTTTTCCCCCCTCTGTGACACTTCCTCTGACCTGATTTTGGCCCCAACGGGCTGGTAGGGTGGGAGGGGAAGGGGGCAGACCTTCTTGAAATATAAGGGCATTGAACCATAGAGCGGTGACAGAGGGGTTGGAAAAACAAGCCCACTCCTCGCTCCTGGGAGCATGTGCTTCATCGCAAGGCATTCAGATGCTTTCCAGCCGACCTCCTAAACAGCAGACAAACTTGCTCTGGTCTGGATGTGAGGATTGGAGGGATTTATTTGCTTGAACATTTACCAAAGAATCTAGTCCTTTGGATACTAAGTTACAGGAGGATCATTGAAGCACATCTGCAGGGAACTCGAAGGGCTACCACCTTTTTGAGAAATACTTTTGATCCACACTAAGGATCTTGTTTTCGTTTGTAAAGCCTCGGGAAAAAAAGGGGTGTCGTAGGAGCAGACATCCTGTGATCTTGCTCACAAAGTCAGGGTCCCTCGGAGGAAAGGAAAGGCTCTTTATGTGGATTTATTATCGACCTGCTGTGGAAGGTTTCCGTTTGGATATCTGACAATCCCCAACCCCCAAATCCTAACACACTCAAACACACATTTCCAGCTTTCAGATTCATGCAAAAAGCTCTTTAACACAAACAGCAAAGCACATTATCACCACCCACTAAAACCTACACACGTCTGCACTGTAAGTATATACCACCCTGTGAAACACACACACGTAGTTGCACATTAAATTCCCATTAGTCTGTCTTCTAGCCGGCGGGGGTAGAGCAATGGAGGTCATTCGGACAGGTGGGGGGCTGTAGGAGTCCAGCATCCCTGCTTCCCCCCTGTCTGTCCTTTCCCCCCCAAATGGATGTTATCATCAGTGAAAAATGTGTCGCTCGCAAATTGCTGAAAGCTTTCCGCTGCGATTGTCTAACAGAAACAGTCACCGGGTCCCTGTGATGGTGCACAGCTGGAACCACAGCTGAGACTGCCTGCATTACACATCGTTCTCTCTTTTTAAAGTGTTGTTTTCATTACCTCCGACGTCTCCACCTCCCCACTCCACCGCCATCATTTTTCCCAACGGGTCCCTGGGCGGCCCTCGGCGGGCTCCTCGGTCCGTCGTCTCCTCCACCCTGGAGGGGAGGGGGTCGCTGGAGTGGAGCATGAGCGGCTGCCACTATCCCTCGCCGCCGGCGCCGGAGCGGGAGCGCAGGTACCAGCACAAAGTGTCGCTGGTGGTGCGTTACTTTATGATCCCCTGCAACATCTGCCTGATCCTGTTGGCCACGTCCACCCTGGGCTTCGCTGTGCTGCTGTTCCTCAATAACTGTACGTTTGTTAACCTAAAGCACTTTTCACTCGGAACTTTCCTGTTTTGTTTTGCTCTGTTTTCCTTGAATTGTTGTGATTTGTGTCTAATGGCAAAAACAAATCTGAAAAATCTAGCTTTCTTTTTGTTCATGCAGCAGTTTCTGCTTTAAATGTCCTTGTTGAGACAAATTCCATCCACTGAAACCCTGCATACCAAATATCTCAATGCCTTATCTGTCCTTGAAGTAGGGACATCAGAATATTAAAAGTCAAAGCCCCCCAAATCCTTCGCCCTGGCTTCTCCGACTGCTTTGCATCACGGCTCTAAAGCACTGGCATTTACTTTGAACTATGCGATGAAGTATTTCATGCTGATTAAAAGCCTTTGGCTGAAAAAAAGTCTTCATTTTGGTTGGAGGGAAACCCCAATCATTTATATCAGAGGAGCAAAAAAATCTTTCTAATGTATGATAAAAAAAAGCAGTGCCTCATTAGTTACTGGTGAAAGTTTCGTTAGAGACTTCTGTCCGGATATAAAGGGAATTTCTCCTAAGATAAACCCTAAGTTCAGAAATGACTGATTCATCCCAGTTCCGGTTAACAAGTCCTTTCTTATTAAACCATAGTCCGATACTTTTTTTTCATTGAAAATGAGAATTGGTCTATATTTATGCCAAACCTCATAGATTTTAATGTTTGCTACGAACGCATAAGTGCAACATGTGAGCGTTCTGTTTGGATTTACACAAAGAGTAGTGCAAGGAGTTCTGCTCTAGATCTTAACGGTCCTATTTACACCAAACTGTGCAAAAGGTGAAATCTTCTTAACTCCACAGAGTGGGGCATTGCTTATGCAAGATTTTTACCTCCTAATCACCAGCAGATTACATTAGGTAACTAAATTTGATTGTTGGGTACAGCTCGGATAATGTTGGTGCGATATGTCGCTAACATTTTTACTGTTTGTCAGGCGGCATGATTCCTTTAACATTTTTAAAACCTTTTTAAAAGCTTTGATTTTGTCTCACATTTATGTTTATGTGACTTTTTTGCAATACTTGTTTTTTAAGCTCTTGTCATTTTGCTTTATGTTAGGAGATGAAGATGTATAATGATATGAACTTAACTTTATTTGACTTATCTTAGTAAACCATAACAGATAGCTATTAAAGGTTGTTCTGCTGAATTCAACTTTGGGTTAATCTGAAACTTAACCACTTTGAGCAAACAACCCAATGCTGGGAATAAAATAGATGGTTTCTTCCTTTAGCTGAAAAACTTTAAACATAAGAAATGGTAAAGTAGGGAAATATAGTCTAGCTACATCTAGCAGCCTGAATAAAGAGCCAATCTGTCCCCTGAGAAAAATAGAGTATAATTTTTTATGGCCTAATCAATTGAGCTTTAAATGAGCCCATTGACACCAAAAACAGCCATGTCAGATTATTCTGTCCATTACAAAGAGTGTGGTTGTCAGTTTTAATGATAATCCAAAGTATGGTGCGTTAACTGATTGCAAAGAATGAGATGAGATACCGGTTTACGTCAACCAGCATCTGTAAAAACGAATTATTACTGCTGCATTAAGCTATATAACTGCTGGTTAACCGGCGTAACCAGGCATTTTATTAGAGGGATTGATAGAAAAAACGTCAGGTTTGTTTTATGTGATCCTTTTTGACGTAAATAGAACATATTTGGTGTGTTTCTACTTTTCATTTACCCTGCAGAGCTGCACTTTTTCTCTGACAATTGGTTCCAGAATGTAATGGTTTGAAAACATCCCAGCCTCTGTTGTAGCTTTGTCTGGAAAATTCTAATCTTTCTTATTGGGAAACATATGCCCAGCATGACTAAAATCCATAGAGAACTTACATACTTGTTGACAACATAAAGGCTGCTGACCGTTTTATACCCCAATGAAGACCAAGATATCATCATCTATGGCAGAGTACTTCCTCCTTTGAATCTAAAGATTCTCTAACAGATCAGTCATTTTCTGTTTTTTTTAGGCAAGAAGTATTTTTGCATGTTGTTGGGTTTCAATGAACATACTGCCACCTAGCAGTAGGTGTGGGTATTGCCACCATCGTCACCTCTCTGTCCTATGAATGACTGTAATTAAAACTTGATGTAGTTGTATAAATACACAACACAACACTCATAGTTTGAGTGGAGCATTGATGGGTAAATGGGGCCCATTAGCTTCCACATAAACACTTTTCAGGATTTTATTTTATTTTCCTGGTGAAACTGAGAAATTGCTCCAGCAGACCTTCAGTGCACTGCAATAGATGGACATTAGGAAGAGCAGTCCTTTTCTAAAGTGTGTCGCTATATCTATATCACTGTAGAAATATCACATCAACTCAGACCTTCTCCAACATCTCATTAAAATTACTGTTGGAAGCTGGAATGACACAAAAGAAAATGTCATTGGTTTTTAAACCCTAACCTTTGTAAACCTTGATAAACCTCCACCTGACTAACCAGCCCTTTAATACTTAATCTCCTGCTTATTATCAAACAGATTTCTTTTTGTTTTAACTTTTTCCATATTCCTTTGAGTGAAGCAGGTCCTTCATAACTTCTCTTCGTTGCTTCATCAGCTAAAGCCAGACAAATTTAGTCAGATTTAATCCGCTCTCTTAAAGGAAGCCAATTTTCACGTCTCATATGTTAGAGCAGAAAAAGAAAAAAAGTCTGCTGGACAAATTGATGAGCTAAAGTGAGCTCTATTATTCTGCCAAAAGCCCTTTCCATGTTGCGGCGAGGACAGCTGCGTCGTGGTAGTGCCGGCAGCAGAGATCTGTGGAAGGGTGTTAAAAGTGTCATGCAACCTCGCATTGGCAAATTCTGTTGTCAACATATGGGATGAGACATGTCCATACATACGTAGACAGTTTGTATCCCCTCCCCCTCTCAAAGTTGTCTGCTGCCTGTTAGACATCCTCACTTCATCATTTTGCTCAAACCGTACATCAGCCACAGCAAAGGGGAAGGCGGCACACATGCAAAAAGACCAAAAACGCACACACAACTCTTCCTGCACGTGGGTAAATGTCATAGCCAGACACTTATTGATTTGCTGGAGATATAGGATGAATGATGGCGGTGTTGTGACATTCACACGGGCCCCGGGAACTCACGCAGGCTTTGCCAGGTGTAGAAGGGAGATGGAAGTGGCTGATATGTTTATGGAAAGACCTTATCTCGTCCTTTCTTTATGTAAATGTGAAGAAATTCACTTCACCTGGCAGCATGGCTCTATCTGTCTCTGTTTTGTTTGTGAATATTTAGACATGCTAACAAAAGCCAGAGAGGGAAGTACAGCCTGTCGATGCTCTTTTATCCGTCCTCGCTGCGTTTTCCTTCTACCCCGTCATTCCTTATGTGTTCTTGAACCTACCCCCTCTAGATGGAAATCGGTTACCGTCATGATTGACTGCGAAACAGCTTCAGCGGACAATTCATTATTCACCTCTAGCACCAACCTTGCCTCTGTGCTCCCGTATCTTCATCCCCCCCCCTTTCCTCTCTCTCTCTCTCTTCCTCTCTCACAAACACCCGACTGTTGACAAGCAATTTTAAGCAAACCCAAATTTAAAACTCAGCTGTGTCTCGCCTGGAGGTGGGGTAGCACAGAAGTCCCAGGAAAAGGTTGCAGCTCTGCTCTTGATGGAAGTCGGGGTGTGTAGCTGTGGATGCCCTAAGGGAGAGAAAAAAAAAAAAGAAAGTTACACTGATGTAATTGAAGTGATGTGTTGCATCTTCCTCATTATCCCTCACACAGTGTGAAAACATGGAGGAGGCGTCTGGGTGGTTGTCCAACCTTTGTTACACGTACGTGTGTGTTGGTGTGTTTGTTCAGCGCAGGCAGCTCTGACAACTCGCCGGGGCTTTGCTCAGTGACTCACATGGCCGGATGGACTGCCAGGGTGCAGATGGCGGTTCAGCTGGGTCGTGCTTGGCGCTCTGGCTCCCTGGTTCGCTCCAAACCGGTGTGCTGTATGGTGGTGGCTTCTGTTGGAATCTCCATGAAAATGAATCCGTTTGTCAAAAACTCTTTGCATTTCAGGGCAGAGAAGGACGGATATTTTCCTGTACATCACTTTGGGGTAGTATGACATCTCATAATGTAAAAGCTCTAGAGTCATTCAGCAGTGTGACATTTGTCTGGCTCTTTACTGTTGGGTTGCTGTCAGCGTCTGACTTAACCAGGGGAACTAAGAGCCTTAAAATACCTTCCCATGTCCGTCTGGACCGGCTGCAGGTTCATGCTAGGACAGTTTTTGGTTCAGTTAAAACACATTTTTCCACTCTGGGATAAAGTTTTCACTCCATCCTCATAAGGAACAATAATGAGCTGGCTAGTAGATAGAGGAGAAGATAAAAACAGCTAAATTAATTTTAAAACATTTATCTTAGTGTTCCTATAGATAGAAATAGCTGATTACATGGGATAAACCACAAATATCCCTTTGTTGCTTCATTTATCCCCTTTGTATATGGAACCATAAATACAGAAAAAATAGCATATTTACAAGGAAATAGTTCAGGGGTCCTGTTATGTGGCCGATCAGGTAGCTACACCCACTTAAGTTGTTAAAGGGGAATTTCAGGATTTGAAGTAAGCCCTAGAACCGCTATATGTCAGACAATATTTTCACGGACCGGCCAGGGGGGGGTATCATTTTACGATTAAGTAAAATGATACGACTGGCATAAAATCAAATACAAACAGCATAAAAATAAAACAACAAGCCGGTCCCATCTAGGCGTAATCGGAGACAATGACACACGAAGTGTGCTCCTGATGTCCAGTCTGCTCCGTAGCTTTGTTTTGGTCGCTGTAACCGCAGAAAATCCCACTTTACAAAGATTGGATGTTATAGATAGGATGAGTCTTGAACTGAATTAACCTGTGACAAGAGGTACAGATGCACCGACTGATGTAATTGGGAGAGAATACCGTAATTTTTTATATTTTTCAAAATAAAACATCACTCAGACTCTGATTGTCGATAAATTATATATATATATATATATATATATATATATATATATATATATATATATATATATATATATATATATATATATATATATATATATATATATATATATATATATATGGGGTACTGGTCCGCGGTCCGGTGGTTGGGGACCGCTGCCCTATGGTATGAAAAAAAAAGTCATAGCTGTCAAGTCTCCCATTTTGGCCAGCATTTTGCCTCTTTCCATACTTCCTCCCATATTAGAAGTCTCCCATAAATTTCTCTTATTATAAAATTATATATATAATATATATATTAAATCTTCTGCCTCCTAAAATGGAACCATCATAAGTCAAAATCTGATCACCAAATTGCTGAAAAGTGCTTATTTTTTCTTAAAATACAACAGATACTTGAGCTTGGTAAATGGCCTGTACATACTGACAGAAGAGAGGCTGCCGTACCTTGGCACCACCAGTCCCTCTGACCACCATCAGTAGGGAATGCGGATGAAGTGTTTTGCCCAAGGACACAATGATACTGAAAGCCAGAGCCGGCGCTTAAACCGACAACCTTCTGGTTGCAGGGCAAAATCCTTCATCTGACGCCACTGCCGCCCAGCTTGACTGGGTTATTCGCTACGGATGACACAAAAATCTCCCTTATTTTCAAACCCAAAACTTAAGAGGTATGAGAGAAAGGGATAACTTTATTTAACCCGCTCAATCCGCACCTACCCATTGTTTATATTGAGGAACGTGACGCTTTCAGTTAGAGCTGAATCTAATCAGTTTGTAATTACTTTTGAGCATATTTCTTTTTCTGTCGGTTATTTTGTTTAAAGATTTTTGACTTGATGACAGAGATGGCTGTTTCCTCTAGAGCAGGGGTCTGCAACCTTTCATATCCAAAGAGCCGTTTTTCCCAGAGTACGACCAAATAAAAGTTGTTTAGAGCCGCAAAATATACCATGACTTTTTTTAGAAAACCTTTTTTTTTCTTATCTTGTATAGGAAATTAGTTGTTGCCATCTCAAACAATCAATTCATATATTTTTAATGTTAAAACCTATAATTTTCAAGCTATTTCATAGAAAAATGTCTCTTAAAACATGTTTCTGGTTCTTTTAATCTCATTCTTTTCCATCTTATAAAAAACGCTAAAGCTATTGATACCGGTATATATTATAGTAAATTATTTACCTCTTTATATACATTTTAGCCACTATTAAGAGCCGCTGGAGAAGGTCCAAAGAGCCATATGTGGCTCTGGAGCCGCAGGTTGCAGACCCCTGCTCTAGAGTCATACTTCTGCTCTCAAAGATTAGACGCAAGTTGCCAATGTTACCAGCCATAAGAAAATGGTATGGGCGGGATTTCCTGAAAATATGAGCCAATCACAGGCAGTTTACTATCTCAGGTTGGTTCCACCCAACCAAAGTTGAGATAATTACACGGAAACAAGTCCACAGACGAGTACGAGAGAGGCCACAGGCGCATAAAAAGCAAGAGAGTGTAGAGAGGGAGCATGAAGTCAGGCTTTTGACATATTGGGGGCCTCATGGTATTAAATCTACACACAGAAAATAACCACAATACACATGGACTGTAGTGTGTGTGTGTGGGTGTTGTAAATAAAACTGCTACCATGAGTATTTATTATGTGTGTGCACTCTTGGCAGAGTTCTGACTTTATGCCCTTCTATCTGTACATCCTAAGTAATGAGTTGCTGTGGCGACCCCTGGTCAAGGAGGCAGCCCTCTGTGCACCCTTTCCCATCTGCAGAACCATTAAATAAAAGCTGATAGAGCCACAAACAAAAAAACTAAAAAAACCCTGCCTTCTTATTCACTAAACTCATCCTTTATTTGCTTTGAGCTCTTTTTTTTTTTACATCCCTACATCGATTTATAACGGTGTTGAAATAACGTCTCGCACAGTTTCCTCTGATGATGTTGCTGTCATGCTTTCTATCTATAACTTGTGCTCATGTATTTGTCGCGCTTGATGTTCCCTTCCCTCAGCTAAAATGATGAGTTTTTTAATCAGTTATTCCATCCAGCGCATTTTAATCTGCTGTAATTTGAATATACCATTATCTAACGAGCCAACCGTTCCTGCCTCTCAAATGAGAATATTGGCTGCCTAATATCAGAAATTACACACTTTAGTTATTCAGATTGTAGGGGAATACAACATTTCCGAGGGTTCTGGGAAATCACTTTTTTTCCTATACATTTGACGCTATAATTAAAAAATAATCATTCAGCGTAGCAGCAGTGAAGAAGCGGATGTTTTCTGTTTTTACTCCATTTTGTCATTTGCTCATTCCCCTGATTTATTTTCCATCCCATGTGGTGAAAAAAGCATAAAGATCGCCTCATTTTCTGTCGCCTAAAGTGGCCGAGGTGTTGAAGCTGCGAAGGACTCGGGTTACATGAGGCCTTCCAGCTGAGTGTTTCTCAGCCATTTGACACTACAGGTCCTGTTTTTTACCACTCCCACGCAATGACATTGTCTGCCGGTTCACACACCAGGAGAGCAGCATGATCTCATGTTTGACTGGGGGGAAAAGTTTCAGATTTATTCCACACATGGCTGCAGGTGGGAGGGCAGGAGCTAAATGTCTCTTTCCTCATTGTTGTGAGCATATCTCACGCTTTTTGACGCAAAACAACATAAAAAGATAAATCCCTCTGTTCTCAAATCCTCCTTGTGCTCTTGCTCTATCCGAAGTCATGCCGTATGGTTGGGAATGATTAGAGCGTAGAAGAAACGAATGTCACAACATGGCGATGAAGCTGATATCGCTGAAATGCACTCCTGTCCGATTAGCTCAGTTTGATCCCTGCAGGGCTCAGTCACACTGTTTTGGATTGAAAAAAAATAAAGTCAGAATGTGTTCAGGTTTTTTTTTTCTTTATTGTTTTTTAAAGCAACTCAATTACTTGCCTTTATCCCATGGGAAGCTCCAGAATCTTCCCCAAACTAAACTACTTCTTTGTCCTTTTTATCTCTTTCAGACAAACCATCTCACTTCACTCCGGCCCAGCCTCCTGATGGTAAGTCCTCTACGGTTTTCTACCTTTGCTCCCCTTTGACACCCGTCGGGTTTCTTAGGTTTTGCATTTCGAGCAACGACATCGGACAGCAGATCCCTGCCTTTGAAGTGGGCGGCTGACGGTGCTCCTTGGCAGATTTAGCCGCCCTGCTTTTTGTTTCCGCGCCGTCCGTAAGGCAGCCGCACGGCAGCTTCTGCTCAGGCCCCTTTGATGTGTGCAGGATCTTTTGATGACTTGATTTGATCTTCTTGGCACAGCTAGTTGGGATGATGTTCGATGTCTGCATTCAGGGCTTTCTGATAGACTCTAATCGGATAATGCACCTTTTCTTTTCTCTGTGAATATCCCAATGTTTCCTCATGCAGCTTAGGAAATCGTTGGCCGAGGGCAGGAAGCAGAACCATTACCTCACCTTCTTATCCATATGTTTTCTTCCCAGGCGACGGATATAAATCTTTTGCTACGGTGCATTATTGTTTCAGTTTTGTTCTGGTCCAGAAACATGAGCTATTAATTCAACAAAAAGCAACAGCGTCTTTAAAAAAAAAAAAAACAAAAAAAAATTCTGGGAGAGTTTTAATTGGAGGAAAACAGCTGGTTTTCAAGCTGCTATCATGAATATTTATCAGTAGTAACACATTGAGATGGCGCTTTATAGTTGTTGTTTTTTTTGACTGACTGAATTGCCAGGGAAGGCCTCCTACTAGTTCGGAAGGTGTTCCTTCGAGGTGTGTTGAGAGAGAAAACATGTGGAGCAAAGGCCTTTAATAATCCCAAACCCAGTGATGCTTGGACAAAAGATCACAGTGTGGACTCTGTGAATCTGTTTCTAATAATTGAGCAGTCGATCGCTCTGCTTCGAGGCCGTACGAAGAAAACGTTTGGGTGAAAGTGAAAAAGTGAAAGACGCTGCCTTAAAACGAATCCGATTAGAAATCGTTGATGACGGCCGTAATTGTCTGCTTGGGATAATTGGTCAGCGTCGATATGAAATGATTGAGGGGTTGTTAGGACTCAGCAGATACTTTTGCCTGATTGGAGCTCACCTCAGCCTAAGAATTATGACAACGTCTGATGCTTTTCATTTTGCAACCCATCGCAAAGAACTCCAGCACCAAACCGTCCATTTATTCCTTTTGCTTTTAATGACAGATGCAATTGTCTTGATAGTTGACTATACCTCACAGAGAGAGCTCTCTGGGTCTCTTTTTGAAGCAAATATTGCCCTAAAACGCACTGTCCTTTTTTAAACATAGAGCTTTCTCCTGCCTTCCATTGAATTCTCCTCGTACAAAAGAAATGAGGCCCAGCCTATTGATTGGACCACTCATTTCCCATGTATTAAACTTTTTTGCTGGCTGAAGGGCACAGTTTGTTTCTGCACTAGTCAACCGTTTAAAAGCTGCTCCTGGCACTTAATTACATTTCCAATTGTTCTGTAGGCTTTCCACCAGCAGCCTACGCTGTTTTAATATGCCAAGGAAAACAAAAAGCAAAGTCTCCAATCAGCGGGATAAGCCTGCCCTGTGGGACCCAGTTTCTCTGGGTCATTTAACGCTGAGGAGATTAGTGAGACAATTCGAGTTGGCCCAAATATGGCAGTGGGCCACTTTTCCACTTATTTTTTTATTTTAATGTATAGTTTTAGAGGTAGTGGAGGGGTTATTGGGAAGATGCTTGAGACAAGCGGAGTGGTAATGTAGTAAAGCCATTATTCAAATTGGCTTTAAAGAGCACAGAGCTTGTTCCATTGAACTTGTCCTTAGAGCCAAGGACGCTCCACTCTGGAGTACTTAATTACAGGAAATCACAGACAAAACACCATGGAGCCTGCATCTTTCAACAGCCTAGTTTGTTGCTTAAAAAAAGACGATGATGAGATGTCCTTATTAGCCGAGAAAGTTGAGAAATTTGTTCTGCAAACCGAGAGAGGAAAGCATCTGGGGGGACTTGCTGGGAAAATATGCAGGTTTGGCACAACATAAAGCAAAGCGCCTTTGATGATATGTTTGCAGCGTGCCACCCACAAATAGCTGACGAATCTTCCCCAATGAATGGCCTATAATCACCAGTCAAAAAAGTGACAAAAGTCATAAAGCAGCCTTTAATTAGCTGCTTTCTTTGAACGCTCAAAGGAGCATTTGCTTGGCTTAGGCCATAGTCATTATTGCCTGTCGTCTCCTGATAATAAGACAGTTGTTACGTGTTTAGCCAAAGCTGGAAAGCTCATACAATTTGCAGCTTGAGGGATTAATATTGGACTTCGGAAATGGTGCTTGGCTGAGAGAAATGCCTGATAAATGAGGCTTTCGCCTCAAGCTATTAATGTCCGGATTTAGAAAAACAGGGACGGCACTTCTCCGCCGGTCAAGGGCGTGGGGCAGGAGTAAAGCCGTGAAAGCCATCCATTACAGGTTAATGTCAAGCTCAAGACGGGTTGGTGATATCAGCCGAAAATAGTTGTAATTGAACGAAATAGATTTACCTCTCTGTCTCAGAGCCTTCAGTTGGAAAGGAGAGTCACTGAAGATGGGTCCCTGGAGGAAGGGCTTTCATTTCATCCAATTTCAGCCCGAGGTGAGTGACTAAACAAAGGCCAATCAGGATTCAATATAGGCCAGAGACTGGAAAGAAAAAAAAGGTGTAATAGAGGAGTGAGGCCTTAGATAGTTCAGAGGTCTCTTGTGACTGTCACCATCTTCAGCACCACTTGCCCAGCAAGAACCCATTTGCTAGGAAGCTTTCAATTTCACATTTGTCCCTGACAGGTCTCTCCAGAGGACGCTCCTCACTGACAGTCAAAATAAACTCCCTGACTGAAATGTGATTTGATCTTAGATGGTGGGATGCCTGTGAAAGAAGAAAAAAAAAGTGCCAGTGGGCTCACTTGCACTTTGAAAAACATTACCGAGAACCAACAAAACCCCTGGGAGAATACAGAAACCAAGTCCATCACTCTCGTTACCTCCCTCAGATTGGCTGAAAACATTCAGGCACAGCATCCCAGCAATTTATTCTGTCAAAATCTCTCCGTGTGTTCTTGACAGTAAGCCAGACACGCAAAAGAGGCAAAATTAATTACGACTCCTTGGCCTATCTTAATTAAATCTTTTCACATCATAGATTTCACACAACAGGGCAAAATTATCTACCTCATCTTTCAGCCGGGTGGGCGGGGTACCGGCAGCGTCTTACATCAAGATATCAAAAAAGGCTCAAAAGTTGCCTGGGGGTTATGGTAATGTGTCATCGTGTCCAGTTAAAGACAGAGGTGCTTCGTAACCCAGCTTTCTGCAAGTAGAGAGGCTTAAATATAGCAAGAAAATAAAACACAGCCTTTATCTTTGTGTCTAAATGTGCGTGTCCTCTGAACATCACTACCAAAGAACCCCCAAAACAACTCAATCCCATTTCAGGTCGATTAAGTGTCCAGCGGATACAATTTAAAGTGAAAAAGCAAACTTATTGCAACCTAATAAGAGCAGTTGTAAACAAAAAAATAATCAGTGTTGCATCATAATTCTTCTCGGTCAAACATGAAAACGTCATAAAAAGATTAGATGTTATGATTATGAGATGTTCTCTCAGAAACGTAGCAGTGAGAAGTAAACAGTGTTATTTGCACAATTTATTAAGAGTATTGACTATCGCGTTTAAAACTGATGTTTTTCTAATAAAGGAAACATGGAAAATGAACTACTGCCGCGTCTGTAAATAAAACAGTAGTCTATCTGTTACAGTAATTACTATTATGACAGTGAAATAGCTATGCTGTGGTTATTGTGTTTCAAAGAGGAGTACAATATCAGAAAATTAATGAGATAAACCTTTAGAGCTTTAGATGTTGGTTAGAAAGGTTACTCTCTTGAAACAAGACAACCATAGGCTGTTTGTTTTACCCATAATTTAGCAAAATCAGCTTTTTTCTTAAACAAACAAACAAAAAAAAACTTTTATAAAGGGTTAACCCCTCACTAATAACGGCTTACAGGGTCTAAAATGGAAAAGGCAAAATATATAAACCATAAGGCAGGCAACAAATCCAAAATGGCTTTGTCATGTTTTTACAAGAGCTTTCATAATCATTGTATACCTCATATCAGGGAAAACTCAGTAGGTAAGTATATCCTTTTATTGTCCTACAATGGGGAAATTCAGTTTCTATATTTAACCCTTAGGAAGCAATGGGCTGCCATTGTTGGGCGCTGGGGGAGCAGTGTGGGGTTAAGGGTTCAAAACAGGTACTTGCAACCTTCTCAGAGCACAAGTGCACTGCTCTAACCACTCGGCCAACTCTCCCCTTAAAAGCTCCCAGACCTTTCTAAAGGTATGTTGTCTTTTCTAATCTATTCTAAATGAGGCATGTTTTAGAGCCATCAACATTGGCTCTAGGTTTTTAAGCCCGAAGGTTACACCCATCCTTCAGATAGAGTTAAGACTCCGGCTTGCCTCACCTGTGCTTAACGACTATTGATCTGCCAAGATAGCTTAGTATCAACTGTCCAAAGAGAGAAAAACAGCAGTAGCAGTGAGAGTAAAGAAACCAAGCGAAACTAAGGTAGAAAGTGCTGCACGGTTTGGTTTTGATCCACCTGACTGGGAGTAATTGTTTATGTAGTTAACATAGCAGCTTTTCTTTGATATGCCCTGGACCTGAGAAAGAAACCCGACTTATTGATAATGATGGTGATTCTCAGACCTTTGAGGGATCGATAGGTTTTTGATGGGTCAACGCACTGAGCCGTCTGTTGGTGTTATCTAAAAGCCGTCAGTCTGAATTAGCCGTGTCTGATTCCGTGTTGGGAAATCTACAAGTGACACATCAGCCTTAAGTGAGACTTTAAAGGCTTGTCCTGTTACTAGATACGTTATCTAAGCCTTTAACTCAGCTGCCGCTCAGGTATGTTGGCCGATATCAGCTGTAGGGATGTTCCTTCTGAAGTGTGGAGTAAATCTGCCCTCGCTGTTAGTGATTGTCTTGACCACTTTCTTTCAAAAGA